TTTTCATAGAAGCTCATCATTCATTTAGTCAATGAGATGAGTGTCTGCATGCGCTGCAGCATTGTATTTGTAGCTGTTGTGTGTCTGAGCATCCGTCGCCCTGTCTATAACAGTGTTTCTGATGTATGTTTGTCTGCAAAGTGTATCAGTGTTAAAAACAGCGCATCACTCAGCCTAAAAGCTGTCGATAGGCGAACAGAAACATCATCACCTTGTCGCCCGTCGTTTAGAAACGGCGACTTCTTTCCTCATCACTTTAATCCTGCTGCACTCTCAGACAGAAATGTGTTAAAACATTTTTTTTACAAGCCAGAACGAAGCAGTCTTTGATTAAAGTCACCGTGTGTGGAACTTGTTTTTTGTAAAAACTCCCACAAACGTTATTCAAAAGATAAAGTTCCTTATCTATACCAGATTTTTAAAATTATCCTTAGATTATCCAGTCATCAGTATATATATATATACATTGAAAATATACATAGATAAAGACTCCTTGTATATTATGTTGCAACCCTGTAAACAACATTTAAGCTCCTGGAATTTATCTTGTGATTATTTTTCAGACTTTTGGTTGGAGAAAAAAACTCCTAAAAGTTGACAGGTTTGATCTCAGATGAGGTTTAACTTGGCTTGTTTCAACTCATTTCTGGTCTGAGACTTTTGAACAGCTCATCTTTCCATCTGTTTCTCCTGGCATTCATGGTACGATAGCACAAGTCACTATACTAACTGTAAAATATGCTTTCTATAGCCTCTCTCTCCCCTATCTGTAGGCCAAGACTGAACTGAACTGATCACCAACCTGGAACAGTACACACACACAATAACAGATTATTATTGTAATTATTATGATCATATTGTTATTATTATCAATACTCCCTAATCTAACATGGAATCAGAGATTACATTGACTGACTGACATGCAGCACCTGGGGAAGGTGGTGATGGGGGAAGAAAGGAGAAGGACTGGGGTTGGGAGCACCGAGCGATGTGGGGAGACCATGTCACCCTCCAGCGCCGTTGGGAAGCCTGATGGTAAAACAGGCAACCGGCAAAGAGCACAGTATGCGTGTGTATGTTTGTGTTTTGTTAAAACGAAGCTGAAATGGTGGGCATTGTGTAACCAGCAGATGACTGTGTGATTTTTTTTGACCTGCAGAGAGAGTACTGTAAAAAAGAGCAGAGTTTAAAAAGCACCTGAAGGTTGGTTGTATAGATGGAGAGTAAACATGGTGGAAAAAAAACGTTGAACCTGCTGGTTTACTGTTGACGTGCGAGGCTGGGCATGTAAAGCGTGTGTGTGTCCGCATAGACTGCATGGATTCAATTGTTAGCTGGTATCTGAGAAAGGTTGAGCGGACTGAAAGGCTTCCTGGGGAAAAAAGCGCCGCCTGAGGACCACAAGCACCAGACTGAAAGGTTTTCTAAGAAGACAGCCCTGTGTAAATAACCTACCCATCACTAGGTGGAAGTCTCTCATAGGGCCTGTATGTCCAAAAACCACTTATCTCAGTTCTATAAAACTGAGTGATTTATATTATTGCAGCATTGGATTAAAAGGCATAATGACCAGCCAATAAACGGTGTTTCTTTGTTTTAAAAGAAGGTGTGCGTTATTTATACAGGGTTATCTGTTTCAGTCACAGGAAGTAAAAAAACAGCATAGTGTCTGGAGTAAAGGTCTGACTCTGATTTCAGTGGATGTTGCTGCTACTATGCAGTAACTAAAGCACAAAGTGGATCTCTACGAGCACAACTCCTGGAAAACACAAAGGTAAAAGAAAATGAAGCAATACCGGAGTTGAGGCACAAGAGAAGCTGCACCATAACACCAGGGTACTGTAAATGCTGCTGCAAGAAAGATACTGTATCCTACCAAGTCTTTAAACTTTTCGTTGAGGCAGAGCTAGTGTAAGGGATAGGCTGTATTGCAACATTATGTAGTTTATGGGTCTATATCATTTAAAATCTACCTTTTTGAGCTTTTAAACCACGTTATAATAATATCCTTTCATCAAAGTCATGCACAAAGTGGTATTTCGCTTGAGTCATGCATATCTGGGTAATCCTCCTGAGTTTTGCTGTCTAAGTTAGCGGTCCCCAACCACCGGGCCTCGGACCGTTACTGGTCCGTGGGTCATTTGGTACCGGGCCACACAGAAAAAAAAAACAAAATTATATATCTATATATATATATAGATATATAATTTATCGACGAGCAGAGTCTGAGTAATGTTTTATTTTGAAAAATAAAAAAATTGCGGTATTCTCTCCCAATTACATCAGTCGGTTAATTCAGTTCAAGACTCATCCTGGGTAAATACGATCAAGTAAAAAACTGTCCACTTACATATCTCGGTATAGTATCGGTATACAACCTGTAAATTTATGCTGTAGGCTGGTTACCTCAGCAGAAACACTGAGGTATATAAAAAAAAAATATATATATATATATATATATATGGAATTGCGGGACTTGATCTGGCCGGAGCGGAGCGGAGCAAAAAATAGCTCGGCTCCGTATTTTGTCGGTGACGGACGGAGAAGACGTACGTGCAGCGGGGGATGTGGAACAGCTCTCATTGATTTACATGAAACACAAGTGCTCCGCACGATGTACGTCAGCGGGGCGGAGCGGGTAAAGCCTCCGCTGTGGCTCCCGTCCGCTCCGCTCCTTGGAGATCGTAGAGGGCATGCGCGAGATGATTAAATTCAAAGCAGCAAAACATGCAGAAATGATCCAGGGTTTTCCGCGGATCATTAAAAATAATGACAATTCATAAAAAAAATTTTTTTCATTAATTTCATGAATTTTAATTTTTTCATTAATTTTATAATTTTTATAAAAATGTTTTATTTTTCGGTGTAACAATAAACATATACCGAACCGAAAACCGTGACCACGAAACCGTGAACCGAACCGTGGATTTTGTGAACCGTTCCACCCCTAATGTATATATATATATACATATATATATATTAGGGATGGGACGGTTTATGAAAACCGTCCGAACAGTTCGGTTCGACTGTCTCGGTTCGCATGTGTTGCGTTCGGTTCATGCGCTGCTCCTTTTTCTCATAGGTGAAGCGTTTAAACTCCAGAGCAGAAGGTGGCGGTACTGCGACCAAAGCCAACCACCAGTAGTAAACAAGAAGAAGAAGTGAAGCAGCGTAGCCGGGTGTAGCAGAAAAAATCAGTTGTTGTGGAGAATTGTGTGGGTATGGCGAGTGGGAAAGAACAGGAGTTGGAAGACGCGCCAGCAGCACTTTATAGGTCTGCTGTATGGGACCACTTTGCATTTAGAGTGACCTACGATGACTGTGAAAAGAAAGTTGTGGATAAACACAGTGTGCAAGCATTGTGCAACACGTTTTGTTTATGCTAACAGCAACAGGACCAACAAGTCAGGCTAAACCCGAAATCCCACATACTCCGTCAGCGCTCCGCTCCGCCCCGCTGCGCTCCAGACCGCCTGCACAAAGCAAAGCATACAGCCTCCACTGTGGCTCCCGTCCGCTCTGCTCTGAGTTCCTTGGAGATCGTAGAGGGCATACGCGAGATGATTAAATTCAAAGCAGCAAAACATGCGGAAATGATCCAGGGTTTTCCACGGATCATTAAAAATAATGACAATTCATTAATATTTTTTATTTTTTCATTAATTTCATAAATTTTTTTAAATGATTTTTATTTATTTTTTTATTTTTCGGTGTAACAATAAACATATACTGAACCGAACCGAAAACAGTGACCACGAAACCGTGAACCGAACCGAACCGTGGATTTTGTGAACCGTTCCAGCCCTAATGTATATATATATGTCTATCTATCTATAGATAGATAGATAGATAGATAGATAGAGTCAATCTTCTAGAAATACATAACATGCAAACGCACAGTAAACAACTTAGGGTTTTTCTTAGCAATGTCTTATTAAAATATTCTTTCATGAATTATTTTGTTTATTAGCAGCTGTCTCTGTTACTATTTTGCAAAAACTTTTCACTTAGCCTCAGATATGCAGCTATGATAAAGGACCTTAATTGCATCGCTTGATATATTCTATTACAGTTGGCTGGGATCATTAAAATTTTTTTTAATATCATTTAGGTCTAGAAAAAGTTAAGTCTTTTTTTAGAAATAAAATGGGGATATGGATATATTTTTCTTGTTTTATTTATTCACTTTTGATGGATGCATGTGCCCAGGTCTAGACTTTTTAAAAGTTGCATAATGTTTGAGGTTCTGATTGTCGTTATTATCATATTGTCGAAATGATGTCTACATTTTGGTCTATTATTGGACTAAAGTGGGACAAAATCAGACCAACACAGCCCATTTTTAAAAAACTATTTCCGGACCAAATCAATACAATGACTGACAGACCAGATTTAGCCTAAAAACCAACATCTAAATGACGTGTGGTGTTTGCGGGGAATTAATCTAACATTTTGTGTTTTAAGAGGAGTTTAGGTTGTGGATACTATTTTTTTACCCGTTGGCATTATGGGCAGCACAAATTAATTTTTGAATGCTTATTGATAGCTCTGCCTCAAAGAAATCTGACCATTTACAACTTAAACAAGGTGTGAAACAGTCCTTATTTAAACACCTGAGCTATATTAGCTTTGCCTTCCTACATTTATAAAAAGTAAGGTAACTAAATATGGTCCCAAATGTCTTCAGTCTTCTTGTTCTTTTTTGTTTGCTTATTTTGCTAAACAAAAAGGTTTAGTTTATCACCAGTAAACAAAGACTGCAGAGACTAAAACAACTAAAAAAAAACAGAGACTGTTTAGCCCCAAAGAGCACCAAAACCTGTAGAAATGTTGTGTTTAGGTGGCACCATTTGCACTCCATCACCACCACACTAGCACCACGATCATTAACTGTTATGTGTGTTTGCCTTTGAATTTTTGTAGTTCTTTATGTTGCTAGACTTTAATAGATTTCAGTGTTATGGCATAAGGATTCATTGGTGTTTTTATGTATTCAGAGACATATTCAAAAACAAAAAGCAGGAGCATCTTTGTTACACTTGCACCCCCTGGAGGTTGTAACTAGCTGTTGCAGCACAGTAAAGCCAGAAGACATCAGTTTCAAGGTTGGACAGGAAGTATACTAATGAGTTACAGTACAGAAACCCTGTGTGTGTTTGCGTTTATAAATCACCACGGTAGCACCAGGGAACTAAGGTCAGCCAGTGGTCTACATTACCTGTTGCTTTTGTGTGTGTCGATATCTGTTTGCCCAGTATTGTGTCATTCTGCATCAGCCAACCTTTATATACTGACTGTATTCTGTTTGTGGTAACCAGCATGTGTGTCTCTTTGTGTGTGTGTCTGAGAGAGAGAGAGACTTGGGTTTGTAGTTAATAGCAGGCAAAGTACTCCTTGAGCGGGGCGAACAGGTGCCTGATGACGGGGACACTCCAGGAACGACCCAGCAGCCTTTGCCTCGCCAGACGACTCATGTTGGACACATCAGTGTAATGGACAGGAAAACCAAACACCCTGAAACAGGACATTTAAGAAATTTTAATATTTATACCGTAGTACAAGATTTTACAGGATTAGCTGGAACAATCTCAGGCAAAAAAAATTATATTTTGAGTGATTTTTAAATTATTTGGGTCAAAAAGTTAAAAACTTCTTAATTTAAATGCTACAAACCCCCCTTTTAATACTATTTTGCATAAAATGAGATGACAAACACAAATCAAATGAAAACACTCTGAATTTGCATTGATTAAATTAGTGCATCATATTTAACTAAACTTGCAGCAGAGTTTGATTCAGGACTGAAACAACTAATTGGATTAATTGTAATTAATTAATTAGCTAGTTAAATACTTAACTTCATTTGGATTTTTGAATCGAAATGTGAAGTAAGTGTACAGAATAAAATATTGCATTTGCTGAATAATAATAATTTTCTGAATAAATAACCCACGTAAAGCAAACATTAAAACTAAATTTTACAGATGAAATCATTTTTTTTACATCAGATTAGGGCTGCAACTAACGATTATTTTAAAAATCGATGAATCGGCCGATTATTTTTTCGATTAATCGATGAATCGGACAAAAAATATTTTTTATATTAACCTCTTTATTCCAAAATAAACATTTTAGACAGAACAAACAAGCACACAAGTACAGGTTGCTCATTAACTGTACTGGTGCAATATGAAAAATAAATGTTTGTGTTAAAACTATGCAAACTTACATGAGAAATGTAGCTGTACATCCACAAAATATAGGCTACTTTGTTTCATAAAGTGCAAAAAAATTATTTATTTTTTTAAGCCCCTAAGGGGTTCAAACAACAGGCCCCCCCATTTCAACAAATTAGGTTTTTTTTAGACTAGAAGAGTTCTGCCTTTTAAGACAGGAAAGTATAGCAGTTAAAGTTGCTACTTGAGAAAATACTGAACCATAGAGATAAAAATAGCCCTGTGATTCAAATTATAAATTGTATTTGGAATAAATATGAGAGAACGAGGGGTGCTAAAAAACACATCCTCCAAAGACAGATATTTACATGGAAATGTGGCATATAATTAATTGACATATTACTGATCTTGCTGGATTTTATTCTGCTTTACTTCCATAAATTGCAGGATCTTTACTTTATTTTTGCCAGAAGATTTAAACTTTAAAAGCCTTGCCCTCATAATTTGCAAGTTAATTTATTTATAAAGTAAATCTAAACGCTGCTTAAGCTAATTCAAATGAAATTAAAAGTAAAATAAGTAGCCAACCTTATCACTGTCTGTAACCTACTAACACGGTAAGGAAAGCATCAGATGAGCTACCTGAGAAACTAACGTTACGTTTCCCCACTTTAAAACGAAACAAACATGGTGGTTCCGTGCCATGTTAATATGTTTTTACAAAAGTTGCATGTTACGACTTTTTTCACTGTACAAAGCGCAGGCTATTTTAATTATTGTGATCAATTTGCGACGTCAATCTCGGTGCATGAGCGCTTCATTTGCAGCCTGGACGCTGAGGGTAAACATCCTGCTGCTCTGACTGCAGGGGGGGAATGATACATGCTTTCACGTAAGAGTCTCCAAAAGCCGCCAGTGACACCGTAAAAAGTCGCCAGATTTGTCGCTAGTCGCTTTTTTGAAAAATAGTCGCTGGAGGGGTCTGAAAAGTCGCTAAATTGGCAACACTGCACCTGCAGCGCTGGCTCGCTCTGCCGTATTTTTTCTTCTTCCCCCGCTTCAGTCAAGTGTCAGTGATGACGGCGGCGGCGGATGACGCATTAATCGCGCGACACAACTAATCAATGATGAAATTCGTTGCCAACGCTTTTAAAAGTCGATTTTTATCGATTCGTTGATGCAGCCCTACATCAGATGAAACAAATCTTTCTTGTCTATAAAAATGCTCTATCAAGAACTCCTCTAGTGAGCTTGTTTTAGCCTTACCTGATGGATATTCTGTATGTATACAAATGAAGAAAAAAAAATCATATATGTATATATGAAATATGGAAACTGATCACAAGAGTAAATAATCAATAGCTGCAGGCCTGCGTTCAACAAGTGATTGGATCTGAAAAAAAATGGATGAGAGATTCTCTAGTTTAAACATCACTGTTCAGTGTCAGTTGGGCTAACGCACATTACCAAAATGCATGTAAGAGCAGTTCCTCTAAGCCTGAAAGCTTAGTGGAGTGAATATGTGCATTTTCATGTAACATCATTGCAGAAACCGAATCCTGTGCAACTCTACTGATTATTTCAGTAAATTTCCAGATAAATAAAGGTAGTTATCATAAAAGCAAAACCATCTATAGAGCATCAAATAATTCGGGTAAAAGGGTAAAACATGTGTTGAACACTGCTGCTTTAAATAAGATATAACCTTTATTGCTTTGCAAAATTAGCAATGTGAGTTTTCTCATATTTAATTTTATCACAACCATAAATTTCAATACATTGTATCAATACATGTTTTTCCAAAGATTTTACAAATAAAGACAGCAGTCGTTTTTAAAATGACTTTATTTTGGTGGGTGACAAGGCAGAAGGGGGTGAACAGAGCCCTTTGTTACACCCAGGGGCTGCCTCCCTAATGTATTTATTCCTACCTGATGTCCTCACTCGTCTCTTCTATCACCGACCTCATGTCTGTCTCCTTCACCCCTTGTCTGTGGCGTTCTCCACTAAGTCATATGGTCAAAAAGCATTATAAATTAGTTGTAAAAATTACAGATCTTAATGCAGTTTTTAAAAATAATGTTTAAACATTATCGATTGGGATTAAGTAGCTGTTCCCTCACTTCCACCTAATATTAGACCAACCTGTTGCTTTCCCCTGTCTGTCCTGATTCTTCCTCTGTCATCTTCTCTTCTTTCTCTCCATCCTCACAGCTGAATTAAATTAATTTTATGTTAAGTAGGGTTAAAAAATAAAGCAGTCAAACTACAATAAAAATTAATCTTTAAATTTGAATGATCTTCTTGTTGGATAACAGTTACTGACTGGACACTGCATCTGATCTGAGTTTATCAGATACATAACAACACCACTGTAGTGATACTGAATAAAACATTTAAACTCAAGTGTCCGCCTGCCAAAAAGGTTGGTAACATGGGTCACTGAGTCTAAGGTCTATAATGACACTGGATTAATGTGTCTGATACACACATAAACGTGTACAACTCATCTTTAATTAAAAAAAATCAATAAGAAATGTACGTATGAGTGAATAAATTGCAGCCTAGAGGGCTAAGCGTTGGATCATAGCTGGGCACTGGCCACGACATTTTAGCTTTCCTGTGTTAATATTTCACAAGTTTTATTTCGGTCATTCTTACACTTAGGGCCGGATCTATCAAAGGTTTGCGTGTATAAAAACGTGAGCTATGTCACTGCGCACGCTAAAAAATGTACAAACTGATCTATCAACAGCGTGCTAAAAGGATTTGGTCTTTAAAACGTGCTAAATAGCGCCTCTTATCCATTTAGTACTTTTTCTGCAATGAATATGCAATATGGGGCGTTTACACGCAAAAGTGCGTCTTGTGGGAGGAGAACATGTAAATATATTAATTTAGCACTCGCAAAGTGATTTATTACACCTGAAAGCAATTTTGCTAACGGTATCTGACTATATTTAACACGTTTCAAAAGAAGGTGCAAATGGTCTGTATGCCTAATTGCGCACACATGGCAGCGGTTATTGTCGCAAGAAGGAGACATCGAAATGAAGCAAGGACACGCAGAGAACGCATTTTTTCACTCCGTGTGAATATTTTTGGAATGAACGAGGAAACGATCATCAAAACATATCGTTTATCCAGCATTGCCATTTTGGAGCTGTTGGGGGAACTCCGAATGGATTTGGAGCCAGCCACAAAGAGGAGTCACGCAATACCAGATATCACAAAACTCCTTGCAACATTGCACTTTTTTGCATCTGGGATCTCGTTTTTCAGAAGTGCTGTCCAACGTTCTAAATGCCATGTCGCCCTGACGCCCTACCGGAGAACCCCGACCTCTCCCCTGCGCCTGTGGAGCAACATGCCAATGCTGCGGGGATGCGTACGTGCAGTCATCTCATCCACAGTCCCATTGTGAGCCATTTGGTATGTGCATTTTTCTACAGGCCAATACAAAACACCAGTTTTTTTGTTTTTTTTACTGAAGTAGAAATTCAGCCACATACCACCTTAGGGAATAAAGGTTGCCAAAGTTTATATACACTATATTGCCAAAAGTATTTGCTCACCTGCCTTGACTCACATATGAGCTTAAGTGACATCCCGTTCCTAATCCATAGGGTTCAATATGACGTCGGTCCACCCTTTGCAGCTAGAACAGCTTCAACTCTTCTGGGAAGGCTGTCCACAAGGTTTAGGAGTGTGTTTATGGGAATTTTTGACCATTCTTCCAGAAGCGCATTTGTGAGGTCGCACACTGATGTTGGACGAGAAGGCCTGGCTCTCAGTCTCCGCTCTAATTCATCCCAAAGGTGTTCTATCGGGTTGAGGTCAGGACTCTGTGCAGGCCAGTCAAGTTCATCCACACCAGACTCTGTCATCCATGTCTTTATGGACCTTGCTTTGTGCACTGGTGCACAGTCATGTTGGAAGAGGAAGGGGCCAGCTCCAAACTGTTCCCACAAAGTTGGGAGCATGGAATTGTCCAAAATGTCTTGGTATGCTGAAGCATTCAGAGTTCCTTTCACTGGAACTAAGGGGCCAAGCCCAGCTCCTGAAAAACAACCTCACACCATAATCCCCCCTCCACCAAACTTTACACTTGGCACAATGCAGTCAGACAAGTACCGTTCTCCTGGCAACCGCCAAACCCAGACCCGTCCATCAGATTGCCAGATGGAGAAGCGCGATTCGTCACTCCAGAGAACGCGTCTCCACTGCTCTAGAGTCCAGTGGCGGCGTGCTTTACACCACCGCATCCGACGCTTTGCATTGCACTTGGTGATGTATGGCTTGGATGCAGCTGCTCGACCATGGAAACCCATTCCATGAAGCTCTCTGCGCACTGTTCTTGAGCTAATCTGAAGGCCACATGAAGTTTGGAGGTCTGTAGTGATTGACTCTGCAGAAAGTTGGCGACCTCTTCGCACTATGCGCGTCAGCATCCGCTGACCCCGCTCCGTCAGTTTACGTGGCCTACCTCTTCGTGGCTGAGTTGCTGTCGTTCCCAAACACTTCCATTTTCTTATAATACAGCTGACAGTTGACTGTGGAATATTTAGGAGCGAGGAAATTTCACGACTGGATTTGTTGCACAGGTGGCATCCTATCACAGTTCCACGCTGGAATTCACTGAGCTCCTGAGAGCGACCCATTCTTTCACAAATGTTTGTAAAAACAGTCTGCATGCCTAGGTGCTTGAATTTATACACCTGTGGCCATGGAAGTGATTGGAACACCTGATTCCAATAATTTGGATGGGTGAGCAAATACTTTTGGCAATATAGTGTATATATATTAGTGCTGTCAATCGATTAAATTTTTTTAATCGCGATTAATCGCATCAATGCCTAAGTTAACTCGCGATTAATCGCATTTTAATCACACATTTTTTTTCTGATTGAAAATCATTTAAATACTCTCGATGACATACAAAAAAATACATACAGGCTAGGTTTGTGCCAATGTTCTTTTTTTTTAATGAGAACAGGTCACAGATGCTGATTTATGCCATAGAAACATATGGCAAGAAGATGGGGAGGCATGTAGCAAAAAATAACAAATATGTAGCCAAAAAAAAAGGCCCTGAAAACAGGCTGATGTAAAAGACAGTCTTTACAGTTAATACAGTCTTTTGAACAAAGACAAGCATTTTACCCTACTGCTATAAAATGTAGTAGAGTTAACATTAGATGTTAATTAACCAAGATAATAATGAACAATTTTCAATCAATACATCAAAATCAATAGACCGACATCACTAGATGGAGGTAGTCTATGCTCTAGAAAGTTACTTTTCAGCCTCTTAACAAAAATGAGAACACACACACAAGCACCCACCCACCCACACACACGCGATACTGACCTGTGGCGTACACAGATGGCAAGAGTGCCGTAGCAGATTCCATTTCACCTCAGTAATCTGTTTTCTCAGCGTATTTCAGGTAGCTACTAGTTACCAGACACTCAACTTGTTTGTTGGTGGTGGGGCTTAAAGAAAAGGCACTAGCTTCACCCAGTGTATGAGCGTCTTTTTTCCTTGAGGAGCTCCGCTCTCGAAGCCTATGAGAAATGCATACACTGGGGGAAAATAGCCCCGCCTTTCCGCAGGCTGCAGCAGGATGTACTTGGAAAATTGTACCATAAAACCACATAGCGTTAATCTCACGTTAAAAAAATTATCGCCATTAAAATGGCCTCGCGTTAACGCGTTAATAACGCGATAATTTTGACAGCACTAATATATATATATATATATATACATACATATATATATATTTTTTTTTTTTGGAGGGGGTGGGGGTGTCACTGTAAGATTAAAATTTCTTAATGCACTAGTTTGCACAAACTACAAACTACTTTGCCGCAAACCACAAAACGCGCAAAACCATCATTTAAATAGGGCGTCTCCAACAGTTTTGCACCTGCCACCAGTTACGCAATCGCTCTTGTTAAATCACCCACAAACCATGGTTCAGCCCCTCGCGCAAAATTCCAGTTTGCGAGCGCAAATTACTGCACGCAAAATTGGATCTTGATAAATCCGGCCCTTAGTGTGTGGATATGTGTGTTTTACAGGCGTATGTATCAGATATTCCTAGAAATATGGAACAAATCGTGTTCCTTATCGCTTCAATAGGGGAAGCAACATTTAACAGCCAAATATGGGGCGACTCCGTATCAGACTAGCTTTCTCTGACCTGAATATTCACAACCCTCCTGCCCTGTTGTTGATACACTGACAGAACTTACCTACTGTCTTTCAACCACATTGAAAGCCTTTTTTTCATCCCACCAACAACTTTATCCTTCTCCCTTTTTCTTTTTCTGTTTTGCGCCCCGGATAGTTTTTTTTCTGGCGCTCCATCTTGCTGTTAAGTGCGCACTACAAGTGATAGTCGAAGATAATAAAAAAAAAAACACGCCTGTGAGGATGGTGGTTGTAAAAAAGCAGAGAACAAACATACCTTTCCATTTCTGTACACCAGAGGATGTCCTCCTTGTTGTCCATGAAGACTGGGAAATGCTCGTCTTTCCCCTGCTTCACAGAGTTGGAGCGGGTCGTTATCGTACGCAACTTCTCAAACTGGAATTTGCATCCAGAAGCAAACACACAGAAAAACACAGACACATGCATTCTTTTTTAATCCTACAACTGTACTCCTTACAGGTACAGAGGAGAAAATTGTCAAAATGGTAAAGACCATAAGAATAAAAAACAAAAACAGCAAAGGCAGAGGGAGAAATTTGTAATAAAACAGTGAGAGACAAAATCATGTATATTACAGGTTGGAGAAAATACCAAAAATAGAAAATGTATATCCTGAAAGTTACTTATGCATTTCAGCTTGGCAGTTTTAACAACAAACAGGAAATAAATAAATAAACATACACTCAAACACACACGCTCATCTAAAGGTAGGTAGATACCTTAGCTGTGCGTCCATGTTCCAGGCACTCTTGTAAGTCAAGTTTGTCATTTGCCATTGGTGTCAGAGGTCTGCTTTGCCAAAAGAGATGGAAAAAAAATCACGTGAATTAAGAGATCAAGAGACAAACATAAAAAAAAAAAATATATATATATATATATATATATATAGGCCCTGATATGTTCGAGCGTTCATCACCTGGACATGCCGGGTAGGTTTCCCCAGAAATAGCGAGCACGATGGGCAGCAGAGACTTCCTTGGCGTCAATCATCACTGGGTTACACTGAGTAGAAGTACAAGATATCCTCGGATTTTACTTCATGAAAGCAAATGCTGCAGATAAACCTCAACCTCTAATGTGATACTGTAACTTGATTACATTTGAACTAGGGCTGTCAAAATGAACGCGTTAACGCGAGATGATTAATTTCTGGAATTAACGCAATATTTTTTTTAACGCATTAACGCAGTCCCGCCCTGTTTTACCCACAATTCAATTGTCCGACATGAGCGAGATGGAGGAATTAGAAGAACCCATTGGCTGGCTGGATGGACAGTTCGTGAATAAAAAAAATACAAAGACGGGACAATAAATAAACATGTTGTGGTTTGCTCACACTGCAAGAAGGAATTTTCGTTTCAGCGAAGCACCTGGAGCCTTAAATATCATCTTAATGCCAAGCATTCCTTTGTTGGGGCTTCAACTTCAGCTGTTACGACACGCATGCGTCAGACCACCCTCACCGAACACAGGGCATTAAGTAACGGTCCGCTTTACATTAAGAAAATGTAAACCAGTTAGTTTGCCTTAACAACTGGCTAAAAGATGAATAAATAATAGGTAAAATGACCTCATGTAATTGTTTAAAAGTCAAGCTGTTTGTTTTAAACGCAAAAACGTTCCATTCACCCATCCTGTATTTGCTAAAAAAAAAAAGCAATGGCTAAGTTGCCATAGAAAATGTGTATTTTTCAATAATATTTAGGCTAGTGATTAATCAAAATTAATTCAAGAAACCTTGTGATTAATTAGATTAAAAATTTTAATCGTTTGACAGCCCTAATTTGAACTTTTATTTACTAAAAGCACTTTTTTGTTAAGTGGCTTAAAGTAAGCTGGAAGATAACAACCATGTTGATGTTTTGAAAAAGAAAAGACAAAAAGGAAGGAAGGAAGGAAGGAAGAAAGGAAGGAAGGAAGGAAGGAAGGAAGGAAGGAAGGAAGGAAGGAAGGAAGGAAGGAAGGAAGGAAGGAAGGAAGGAAGGAAGGAAGGAAGGAAGGAAGGAAGGAAGGAAGGAAGGAAGGAAGGAAGGAAGGAAGGAAGGAAGGAAGGAAGATGTTCAATTAATCTAAAAGCTAATAGTTTATTTTAATTTTTTTCAGGACCTACCTCTAAAAAGCGTGAGATGTCGCGTTTGTCGCTGACTCCCATGGCGACCACATTCTCAAAGAGCCAAAAAAACGGCCTCTCGTCGCCAGGTTTCGGTCGAGCCTCATGGAGCAAACGATAAAACTCAAAAAACAGACGGCCAGTGCCCTCTGCAAGAAGATAAAGTTCAGTTTTTACGTTTTATTTTTAAAGTTAACTAACCATATTTACAGCTTACTAGATGGACAGATATTTTTTACCAAACAGGCCTTTCCTCGCAGGGTTGACTATAGAGAGGTCATTACAGGGGCTTCCTCCAATTACCAGGTCAAATGGTCCCCACTCTTCAATCTGACAGAGAGAAACACAGCACCACTTAAAATCATGACAGAGGGATAAAACAAGTCTGGTAGACTGATCATTACTAGTGCCTTGATGTACCTAAACTAAATATAAATCCTTTACTTACATGCTTGCGGGTTACATTGCGTACATCCCCCACATACATGATGCGTCCCTCATGCCGGACCATGCCAACAGTGATGGAGTCCTCACAAACTTCAGAGGCGACATATTTGTCCACTTGGATGCCTAAATCTTTCAGCACCAGCAGACCTACACATAGAGAAAAGGTACAATACTTTGATAAACTAAAGAAAAGTATCATCAGCATAAATGTGAGGGTATTTTTCTAATGAAAACTGCAATTGAAAACTTTTTAAAGCTTTGCATGCAAACCTGTGGCAATGCCGTCAAATAAAGACAGGACTCTGATTGGTTTCCTCTTTTCGGCTGCAACTGGAGGATACAATTTGGCAGGTTCCTGAAAGAAAGTATGACGGAGGAAGATTTAATTTGATATAAATAAAGTATTTTATTCTTGATTATTTTAATTTATTAAAAAATAATAATAAACAAATGGGAAAATTATCTATTTGGCTGTCTACTAATTATTAGAAAATTAAAACTGATTAAAGTTTTGAATTTGATGTATACAGAAATGTGTCATGGTTCTACTGTCCACTTCAGCTGGCATCCGGAGAGGGCCATCTAAACCAAAGGGGCTGATCAATAATTCATGCATTCTAAGTGAACACACAGCCAGGCTTACAAATTCCTGCTCGTGATTGTTGGCAAAGAAGTGCTGAAGTCTGATTGGCCAGTCATCCCTTCGCTGCAGTAATCCGTAGGCGCTCCTGGGTCCGCACATGTAGCAGTTCCAGGGATCCTCTTTGATGGCTGCTGCTGCTGAGCCGGCTCCAACCAGGAGATCGACACATTCTACACAGAAACACCTGCGCAAACAGACATAGATAGCTCTTAATGCTTTCCATGCTTATACGAAGGATTACTTTAATGTTTAAGCTTTGTCCTATCACTACACAACATCGGAGAGGATTCCTCCACCTATGATTGTAATGAATTTCAAATTTTTTCTGAGCCCAGCCAGTACAGTCTAATGTAATTATCATTTGATCGTTAGGATGTATCAAAATGTAATTCTATAGTAATAATATCATACTGACAATTCGATCTAATTTGCAGCTTTTCTTAGCTTGCAGTTGTTTTTGATAATTGCTGAATTTTCCATTTAAATGGCCGTTTCTCAATTTGTACTTGCATGTTCTCATGTGCTCGTGTACTCGTGAAACGTCATCAGCCTCAGCCCTAGCACTGTTCCAAGTCACAAGAACACAAGACCGAGAACAGACTAAGTCCCCGGATATTGTTCACTTTACTGAGTATGCATCAGAGCAGACTTGTCTGTCCTCAAGATGCTGTCCCAGCATGCACCAGGGCAGCAGCAGCTTTCAGGGGACTGTTGTTCTATAGAAGTATATTTTAAGATCATTCAAGGCAAGAACATTATACTTTTGAGCATCTCTATATGGCCCATTTACTGATCTATCGCGTAAGATGTTTAGAGGACCGTGGGGACCAGCAGACCTTCAAGGCTAGCCACAGCCATGGTTAACGTTAGCCCGTCTGCAGTGGCCCTCTCTCTGCATAGCTGTGTGAGAAGAACTGCTGGCTCTGAAGTTTTTTGTTGGCTTTATTTGACAAAACACTTATTAAATTTGTATTTATCTGACTGTGTTAAATATTTATTCCTTCACTATATGAAAAATTTAAGAACTGATCATTATCTAGAGACTACTAATAACAGTAGGTGAAATGCAGCTCCAGACGAGCTTTGAATGTATTGATATCATGAGTGCGCTTCTGTTCCAATTGTGCCAGATTTATTCTGCATGCTTCTATTCTCCATACTTCCTGTATTCTCGTTAAGAACGTACTTGGCGAGAACACAAGTCCGTACTCGTGTTTTTGTGAATTGAAAAATGGCCAATGTGTTTTGTGTATTGGCATAATTTATGTATTTGCAGTGGGTTTTGTGTTTTGATTAAGTCTATTTTTTTGTGTTTTTGAACTTCATTTTTTTTGCAAAGCATTTGCACCTCTTTTGCATCATAGTGCAAAAATAAACTTTGCAAATGACTGTTTGTAGTTTAATGTGTGTATCCAACAGTTATGAACTTGCAGTTTACATGTTAAAGTGAAAATTAGGCAGTTGGACAGAGCCTGGATGTACGGAAGAGGATTAGGGCCACTGGAAAAAAAAAAAAAGTTAACTGATTTTTAAATTTTATTTCAGTTTAGTATTTCAGTTTTTTCTCAGATTCTGACTTTAATCTCAGAATTCTGACTTTTTTCTCAGAATTCTGACTTTACTCTCAGAATTCTGACTTTTTTCTCAGATTCTGACTTTAATCTCAGAATTCTGACTTTTTTCTCAGATTCTGACTTTAATCTCAGAATTCTGACTTTTTTCTCAGATTCTGACTTTAATCTCAGAATTCTGACTTTTTTCTCAGAATGCTGACATTAATCTCAGAGTTCTGACTTTTTTCTAAGAATTCTGACCTTAATCTCAGAATTCTGACTTTTTTCTCAGATTCTGACTTTAATCTCAGAATTCTGACTTTTTTCTCAGATTCTGACTTTAATCTCAGAATTCTGACTTTTTTTCTCAGAATTCTGACATTAATCTCAGAGTTCTGACTTTTTTCTAAGAATTCTGACCTTAATCTCAGAATTCTGAATTTTTTTCTCAAAATTCTGACTTTAATCTAAGAACACTGACTTTTTTTATTGTCAGAATACAGTCAGAATTCTGAGGAAAAAGTCAGAATTCTGAGAAAAAAGTCAGAATTCTGACTTCAGTCAGGAGGTTAAGCGCAAACATCCTAAGATCAACTGTGTACTCTAGACTCATATAAATAAATCTGGTCCTCATGAGCTGGCTGACTCTGTTCCCCATGAAGACAGCCACAAATCAGAATGTGACATTTATGTATAAACTCTGTCTGTAAATGTGAAATCCAAAACTATGCCCTGTCCACGAGAAGAAGCTGCTGAATGTCAGAGCAGGGCTAAAGGACCCATTGCAATGCGCTGCTATGGTACAGACCTACAGCAGTTGTTGTTTCCACACATGAGCACTTCCCTTCCTCCACAGCAGATGGTGCAGTAGGACTGATAGCCATCGTCGTCATACTGGTAGGCGCACTCTAGGAAGGAGTTCTGTTGAAGGATAACACAACATTAACAAAATTCTACCTTTTTTTATGTAGTTATTTTGGCTTATTTTTTACTTTAAAATCTAATCTTTATAAACTAATTAATGTTATCATATAATTTACTTACAAATCATGAAAGTCAAAGAGGTATCGTAGTTAAAGGACGAACCAATGTCAAATTTAAAATCCCATTTTTATGGACTTTTTGACAAGCTTAATCGCAGAGATATTTCTTTAAACACAAGAAAAAACATACCAACCAATAGTACACACAAAACAGCCACAGTGAGTCCTAAAACTCTGCTCACATCACAGTTTTGTGTACTCAAAAAAAAACAAAAAAACATTTTACTAAAAACATTTTTTTGTTTTCACTGATCATCAGAGCCAAACTTTGAAAACTGCAAGATACAGTCAGAACCCAGCTACGGTTTTAGAAATCTTTGCAAAAATAATCTGTGCATAAAGCAAAGCTGTGACAGAGGTCTCTTACTTTGCAACCCTGGCACATCGCTCCCATGAAAAGAGGGTGCTCCAGAGAGACATTGAGGCTTCCACAGGAGATGCAGATTTCTGAACAGTAAAACACAAGGAATAAGTTATCATACATAACAAGTGAGGATTTCAAAGATTTTTCCTGCTCTTAATTACGAGCACCAAGCCAATAGCAGTTTTCATTATTTAGCATTTGTTATGCATCAACAGTAAAAAAAACAAAACATGATTAAGTTGGGAGGGGAGGAGGGGTCAATTGACCTTTTTACCTAAAAGCCCTACAAGAGGGTCATTTGACCCTTTGGACCTCCTGCGGACACTCCTTTTGTTGTGGAAATGTGGCTGTTAGCAGCTCATAGCTGTCACTTGAGTCACAGAGTCGCTTGAGCCTATGTGGGGAAGGTGGGGGAAGGTAACCCCCAAGATGATGCAACTGTCCTCCACACACCGCTGCAGTACTTTGAAAAGCTTGTCTCAGAAGACATGATTCAGGCCCCGTCCACACGAAATCAAAACGAACACGAAACGCTAATATTTTCCAGAACGTTTGTCGTAAAGGCGGAGACGTAAAATAAATGTGATCGTCCACACGAATGCATGAAAACGCTGCAAAATGTATCCAAGGCCTGTAAGTGGCGCTGTGGTGCCAAAGCAATAATAGGCGACGAAATGTTGGGCATGCGCACTAATATTTATACATGGTTGCCCTGCGGGTCCATTTTCGTGGTTCAGTCAAATTCAGGTGCTGAACTATGTCGTCGATATTGCTCTGTTCTTCCTGGAGATATTCCAGAAGAAGAAGATTCTGTTGTAAGCCCGACAGCAGGGTGAGTAGCATTAGCAGCAACCATTCAACACAGTACGGCGCCATTGTTGTTGTGATACTGTGTCGCGCATGCGTGTTTAGAGGCGACGCTATGACGCATGCGTGTAAAAAAAAAAATGCGGTTAGAGCTTAAAGATGGAAACGCGAAAACGGCGTTTCAAAATCTTCCCACTCTGAAAACTGAATAAAAAAAAGATCGTTTACAGACCGCCGAAACGCCGGCTTCGTGTGGATGAGAGGCTGGTTTGGTGAAAAATTTGTGCGTTTAGGCCAGGGTTCGGCTTCGTGTGGACGGGGCCTCAAGCTCTGGCAACCCATACAAATGAGTACAGCGTTCAAAGTAATGGAAGATCTGTGAATGCCACAATCAAGGAAATACAGAAAATGTTGGGCATGTACCTGAGGATGGGCTTGGTCCAAATGGCTGGAACCCGTATGTATTGGGAGTAGGGGTGGGTATTGCCAAAGAAGTCACGATTTGATTCGAATCACGATTCACAGGCCACGATGCGATTCTATCACGATGCATCACGATACTTGAATTATTGCGATGCATTGCCATATTTTCTCCTCCATGTTTTGTTTTTGAATGACTCGGCACAGTATCCCACGGCCGGAAATGCTTGTGACACAAGGCAGCGTGCGTCAACACATTTGCAGCGACATCTACTGGACTGGAAGTGGTATTGCACTTGTTTATGGCTGATGTTCGCCAACCATTCATGCAATTTTATTTATTCATTTTTTTAAATTAATAATCGATTCTTGGCATCAAGAATCGATGCAGTAGATCACGAAAATTAGAATCACGATGCATCATCATCACGATTATTTTGCACACCCCTAATTGGGAGACAGATACGCGGAACTCCCCAGTTGCTGATGTGATGCCCCACAACAGATTCCAATCACTTTTGACAACATTACATTTTATGAAAAATTCAACAGTGTCAGAGACTGAAAAGAGGGACAAGAGGGACTCTGGAAAAATTCAGACAATGGCTTGAGCTTTCAATCACTGCACTATGGAACTATTGATTACACTATGGAAATACTGACTTGAAATATGTCTCATTTCTTTTACTTCTATATCTCTATATTATATCATAAATGTATCTGTCAACACTCTTTCCTGGTCATGTTAATCTTGTCTGTCTCAACTGACCTAGTAAGTTTTTTTGCACATTTTTTTGCAACTCATAGAATGTTCTTTGCACAATTATCTTTATTACTCTTACTTGTACATAGCCATTTGCAAGAATGTACTAAATGATTGAGACATGTACAAAAGCATTTGAAATTTGATGAAAGTTATGATAAATGCCATTCTGTTGTGAGGAACTGCAAATTAGTTTTGGGATTTGTCCATGTTTTGAGAATGACATCTCAATTTCAAGAAATAAGCAAAACCAAGGGAGAAAAACTGTAACACACTGGGAAGAAGGTGTCTGTCCCTGTTTGTCTTGGCTGTTACCACTGTGAGGTGTGACCCCCTCACCCCTCACCCCACACACGGCCCATAACAGCCTCATTACCATGACAAAATGAGTGATTAGTGTATTCGGGAAAAGCCGCCGGGTCAATTGACCCCTCTCTGGTAGTTCTAGGTAGGCAGAAAAATCCTGGTATTTCTAGTGTTAAGGAAACAGGAAATTAAATAAAAACCTTATTTAGGGAAGACAAAACAATGTTTAAACCAAGCCTACTTAGCAGTAATGGCCTAATTATTGTACTAAAATGCAGAGTTCATCAGTCATATTACAAATACATAAAAAAAAATCACATATTTATTAGAGGAAATTGATTGCCTGGAACTACAGATTCTTGAGGATTATAAGAGCTTTAAATCAGGTATAAAAACCTAAATTATACTAAAAGATCAATTTCTATTGCACATATATATTATGTAACAGTGCCTGGCTAAACTTAAATGGATTTATTTACCTTCTATATTCCTGGTCTTCTTTTTGATTTCATGTATGAGTCTCTCTGGAAAAAAAGACATGAAAAATGTTGACCATACACAAAAACACAATAAAGATAAAAGTAAGAACACACTTCTTTCTTTCTTCAACTTTTTAGGGATTAAAGAAAAAAGATCTTATGTTTAGAACGAGCATCTTTGAATGAAAGGTGATTTACCTCTGGTCCCTTCGTCGATCACCTCCCTGATTTTTGCTTTCTCTGCTGAGTTCTTGCGGGGTTTCTTTGCAGGTGGAGGTGTGTATGCTGCCTCTGGCATCATCTCTAGGTATCCTTCTTTAAACTGATTTTGCTCCTCTGTGGAGGAAAAGAGTTCGGTTTAAAAGGATCTCTATAAATTCAACCCCCTTAACATTTTTCTAATAGTTTTAGCAAGCTTTATGTGGGATCAAATAAACTATATTTAAGCCACCTCAGATTTGCAGATATGTTGGGAAATTATTTATTTAATATTACTTCATTAGCGGAAAAAAACCCACCATCCTTATATTTAATAACGTCTGACCTAGTAGATCTGGTTTGGGATAAACAAGCAGAGTTACAGATTATTATCTGCAAAACATTCTTCACGTAACATACTGCATCTTTGTCTCCTTGAAAAATTGATAAATGTTTGCTGTATCTATATCTGCTGTAAATATATTTTTTTACGTCTAATGTCTTATTTGTTTACGCCTTGCATTGTTGCTATGGCTACTTTTTTGCTATTTGTTTTGCCTGCTTTGCAAAAAAATTAAATAAACACATAATAAACAAAGACCAGTAAGAACCCAGTTTAATGGAAGATTGATTCATTTCTAAACCCCATAAAAAAGTGTGTCTCCATTGAGTGGTGAGTATCTACTGGTTTAGGGTGAATGTGCTGCAGCTGGTCACCTTCTGGAGGATCCAGTGACTGTGGACCATTTGGAAGGAAGCCGGTCATGGCCCACTCAATCATCTGTCTGGTCTGAAGTTCGACGCCTTCAGCCTCGTCACTTGCATCACAGGAAGGAACTGGTCTTCCTGCACGCATACTTGCAACCTTAACACAGTCAAACCCACACAGTTGACATCTCTTTCCTTGTGAATCTTTAGCCTCAAACTAATAAGAAATAGAAACACATTTGTTAAAAAATAATCAAGAATACAGAATTTCTTTTGGCTCAAAGAACAAAAAATCACAAAAAGTCATTGATACCTTGCAAGATACACCAGCCAAATTACAGATTGAGGTACTGGACTCAGATATTACCACAGCATGTGGGCAGAAGTGGAGAACACACCTCCACAGATGCAAAAATAATAACTACTACTACTAAATTAGTAGATCATGTTGCGTAAGATATGAATAATAATTACGCTTCATGTTTATAGAGTTTTGTTTTGTTCATAGTCATAGATGTATGAGTGTCAATAGGAAGAAAGCCTACATTTTATAGGTCAGTTTAATGTTTCTCAAACACACTCTCCAATGTTGAGAACACAAGGTAAACATTAGGTTTGTTACCTGTAGAGCCTCAAAAATGGCCTTTCGATACATGGACTGCTTGTTGTATGTTGGCTGGTGGAAAGCGGATGAGAAAGAGCTCAGGGGCATCAGCTTTTCAACACAGACCTGAAAAACAAGTTAAAAAGAGGTACAAATCATTCAAAGCATTGGATTCCATCAGTGTGACTGCAAATTATAACCAAGGCTTTGTGCATCAAGTCAAAGGAAATGGAAAAGAATCAAGATAACGTTTCAAAACATCCAAGAAAAGGAACATATTCTGATGTATAAACCCAGAAAAAATATTTTTTTTGTGTCATCAAATGTTTGACTTTTTCTTTCCAGCTTTAACTGATAACTTTCAAGATGCTCACCACAGAGAATTTTCCATCGCCGAACCACATCACCCAGCGAGTGCCGTCTGCAGCCCGACTCCGCCCGCTCATCCACCAGGAAACGATCCGTCCGGGCCACCAAGAGAAACCTCGCAGCTTCCCAAACACCAACGTTCCAATACTGAAACCCCGGCCATCCTGAGCAGATACAAGGAGGTCAAAGTGAAATTCTGATCAGAATCAAAATAGTCCCTTTTATTTCTATAGGAAAATATTATAGGTCTTCTCTGTTTACATTTATAACGCATCAAAAACTTTCACATTGTAACATAAAGGGACTGATCTTCAGAAGTTTTTCACATCTCAAAACATGTACAAACTTTTTTTTTTTTGCCACTGTGCCTTTAACAACATCTAGATCATATTCTAATGACCAAACCAAAGAAATTCAAGGCTGGTTGATATACAAAAGTAAAAACAAGTTGTATCTTTTTCAGCACTTCTAAAAGTCAGGTTCAATCTCACACACTAATATATCTATGGTCATTGTGGCCACAAAGGAAGCATTAGTAAGATTGGTAAGATGCAAGGCAAGGGGGAGAGATTCTAAGGGGTGTAAATACCTATACGTTTTTAAACTAAAAATACATTTTTTTTTAATGCTGAGCTATAAATTCATAATATGGCGTTGACTATATACTAATTAATATGTTAATGTTGTTGTTTTTTCCTTATGGTTTAAACTATGACTTTTGATGGCAAAAATCGTTTGGATAAATAAATAAATTCACTCAATTGATTATCAGATAAACATATTTTGACAGTCAGAAAGAACAACAGTAATAAAATAAAGCAGAAAGATGTGACATTTATTTGTATATGAGTCAATACTTTGTAAAACAACCTTTTGCTGAAATGACTGTATATTGAGCTAAATAAGGACCATAATTTTGTTTAAAAAAAAGTTTAAACCTGAAAAAAAAAAAGAAATTGGCAAAAACATAAAAGGAAGAAATTTTAACCAGAAAAATATGTTTGGTAAAACGAAAACCTAGTTTTCATATTTTTATATTTTTTTTAAACTTGCAATTTTTTATTATTTTTTTTCCTTCAAACTTAAAGGAATAGTACACCCAAAACATGATTAGCCTTCATTTTCTACTCACCCCCATGCTGAACAACACTCTGGAGTACTTTTTTGATATCTCAAATGCATCTGGAGATCTGGGAGGCTTCTTACTGTCTGCTGACATTCAAATAATGGAGGTCTATGGTGCCCGAGGCAGAAAGGTCCATAAAAGTCCACAAAAAACGTGTCAATATTCCTCCATACTGCTCGTCCAATGTATTCCAAGTGTCCTGAGTGGGTAGCATCCAGAATTTACTCGAAACGAAGTCATTTAGAATGTTTTTAGAGCACAAACAGTAGTGTATAGGATTTCCTGAAAGCGCGCACATGCGCGTTCACGAGCCTACGGAAGCCGGCAGACCAAACCAGCGCATTCAGCTCGGCAAAGAACTCATGCTCTTCCTCAACACTCAAGTCCTCAGACATTTTTCTTTCGTTGTTTCTTTCTTTGCACAGGTAAACAGCACATTTCTTCTTCTACGCTTGCATTATTGGCAGAGCAGACGCTGAATGCGCACTTTCATCTGGTTTCGTCTGCCGGCTTCCGTAGGCTCGTGAACACGCATGTGCGCGCTTTCAGGAAATCCTATACACTACTGTTTATGCTCTAAAAACATTCTAAATGACTTCGTTTCGAGTAAATTGTGGATGCTACCCACTCAGGACACTTGGAATACATTGGACGAGCAGTATGGAGGAATATTGACACGTTTTTTGTGGACTTTTATGGACCTTTCTGTCTCGGACACCATAGACCTCCATTATTTGAATGTCAGCAGACAGCAAGAAGCCTCCCAGATCTCCAGATGCATTTGAGATATCAAAAAAGTACTCCAGAGTGTTGTTCAGCATGGGGGTGAGTAGAAAATGAAGGCTAATCATGTTTTGGGTGTACTATTCCTTTAAGGCCCTGTTTTCGGGTGGGGGCCGGGGTCTCAGATGGCGGGGGAGTGGAATCATGACTAACAGCTTAACACAGCAGCTGAATAGCCTATTACCTTCTGGTGCATTCAGAGACCCTGGGAACTGAAAATATCTTTAAAGTATCATCAGTATTCTATATGTATGTATTTGGTTTTGACCTATAGACAGAGGTGGAAAGAGTACTAAAAAATTGTAATTGAGTAAAAGTATCTTTACTCTGCCTAAATTCTACTCAGAGTTAAAGTAAAATTACCCCTCTCAAAATTTACTCAAGTAAAAGCACAAAATTACTTCATTTAAAATGTAATTTGAGTAAAAGTTACTTAGTTACTTTGAGTTATGTAATGCAAGAAAAGGATGAGTCATGAATCGAATTGAGCACAAGGTGTTTTAAGCGATTTCAAGGCGTATTTCAGTGGACATCCACACTTGCAAAAGATCACCTGGGCTAAGGAACATACTTCCTCACAGCACAAGGACAGTAACAACATGTACCATAAAGTGCAAACAATTTTCAATCTTGCTGTCCAACAGACAACACCATGATAACTAACTTACCGCAACATTTTTTCGTAAATTGGATGTTGATGTTTTAAAAGCCGAAAGCTCCACTTTGCTGGGCAGGCACATGTTGGACTGCATTATCACATTGTTCCCTTTTGTGCATTTGAAAACAAATAATCCTTCCAAATATGGCCAAGGGTTTTTCTGGCTTTCGTCTCCAGAATATGTTTCCTCTTCAGGCCTTTCCTCATCCATACTCCCTAAATTGTGATTAGCAACTGCCATCTTCCGAAGCGCAGCACTGGATTATGAGACAATACAAAGGGTAATTGCAAGGCAAGGCCACATTTAATTTTTTCACCATCAGTATTTAAATTTTTTTTGTTATGCAGTAACGTGAGGGGGTTTTAAATGTAGCAAAGTAAAACTACTTAGGTTAAAATTTACTCGAGTAAAAGTAAAAATTACATATTTCAAAAACTACTCAGAAAATTACAAATTACTCATAAAAAGTACTCAATTACAGTAACTTGAGTAAATGTAATTCATTACTTTCCACCCCTGCATATAGAATCATCTGACCTGAACCTGCAAGTATTCATTTTTAACGTCATGGATTTGCATTCACTGAATATGTTCGTTTCCACATACACATACATTAGAGAAGAGTTAGACAAAACTTTTATTGTAATTTTGTATACACAGAGTGTATACACAGTGAAGAAGAAGGGCTAATTTGGATGAGGTACCAAAAAACATTACCACAGAGACGCCAAAGAACATCTTACTCATCAGCATACTCATCACCTCCCACCTGGCCAACAGTGATGGTGACCAGAGAAGTTCTGAAAATACTGAAGCGTGACCAAAACATTCCTGCCACGATTTCCACCCACACTAAAATCTGGCAAAAACAACTCCTACTCCTATCTACTAACTCGGGCCTAGCTGTGAGGTACTAGATTAACCAGAAACCAACCTTCTTCAACTACAAGTCTGTTCATGCTCCTCTGCCTCAGGAAATATTTAACCTTAATCCCCTTTTAATCTATCTCCTTTAAAATTCTTCAGCCTTCCAGGTGGAGGTTCTAATAGTTTGGTTGGTTTGGTTTACAGACCAATTCTGAAGACAAGCTATAATTAAATAGGAGTAAATAAACTAATAATTTAATCATTAACTGATCCTACATAGTATAAGAAAATACATTTTTTACTGTTGCGTATTCACAGCAACATACAAAAAAAGTGCAAATCTTCTGTAAGTGAAGTAAAAGCAAATTTTTTGAAGCTTTATTAATCTACAGGTAATCTTTTGTTAGCTTATTTTTTTTTTAATAGAAATATTATGTGACTTTTTCTTATGTATGTTACCTGGTACTCAATCTCACTGGCCATAGCTTGGTCGCCTCTGGCAACTGGATCGGGTGTCACGGCAACTGTTGGAGACGCCGGATCTGTGTGTTGCTGTGAAGGGGGAGGAGTCGGGCTGGCTAGCTCCTCCTCTTTTTGAAAGCCACTCTCTGATAGGTCATCCATCATACTAATCTCAGCCTCTCTGTATGCCCTCCGTTCTGCCTGTGAGAAAAAACAAACACAAAACTCCTATAACCACTTTTTTTCTAAAGTTTATTTCATTTAGCCTAACTTCTGACAACAAAAGTAAATCGTCGTCGATGTTTTCCGACGATGCAGTTAACACCCAAAGCTCCACTTGAAGCCTACTTTACAGTAAAAGTGCTTAAAAATTATTGAAATAAAAAAAAGTGGCTCTAAATAGGGCTAGAACAGGAAACTAAATTAGATCTAAATATTTCCAACAAAACACCAAATCGTAAAATGTTTTAATTAATAGAACATGTTTACTTTTCAAAAAAAATCTGAAAATAGTTTTCCATTTCCAGAAAAAAACAATCCTGCCATCATATGTGTACATATATAATGTCTAAAGTTTCTGGATTATAACTTTAGATTTTTATTACTTTTAGTCTAATCTCATAATCACAAACTCTTCTAGTTGTGCTTCTTTAGTGTTTTTCTTTTCAAATGATCTGACGGCCACCACAGATTAAGGCCTTTGAGACCAAGAAACAGTTCTTTATTTGTTTCACCAAACAGGAAGTGAGCACAGAGAAAACGGGTGCGGTGGCATTACAGTTCAACGGGTTCATCTCAGGGAAGTGGAAGGAGGGAGGGAAGACAAAGAGTCAGTGAGTAAATGGGATTATATGATAAATCTGGATAATACAGCAGAAAGAGAAACTGCAGCATTCCCAGTATGAGAAAGAAGATATGAAAGGAGCGGGTCACAAGCCTCTAAGAAGTAAGAAAGAATATAAACAAACTACAACTGTTTAAATTAAAATCTAGCATTCATACTGTTTAAGTATCATCTACAGTGTAAAGTATCTGTTTTTGACTAGCAGTGGTGACATTATATTACTGTTTTGTTGTTTTATTATTAGGGGCATAATCAAATATCCATCAAATTAAAGTAGGGTAAAGACCTTTACTCTTGAAAAGTTTCTGTGTTTTAAAGAATCATCCATTCTTTTTTTGTGTGTGAAATTCTTTAAACCTGCTTATAGACAAATGTACTTAACAGCTTCAGTATAAACTAAGAAAAAAATAATGTAAAAAATGTTAATAGACTGAAGTTATCTGCCTTAATCTGATCTCTAACAACAAAATGTTATGACACATAATAATTTAATAAATCCTAAATATGTTTCCCTTTCTATCATTTCACCCATTGTTGCATTATTTTTACACCACTTAATCAGCTATCTTTGTACACTGAAAGTAAGAATTAATCAGTCAAACATCTACTCAAGTTAAAGTATTGAAGTACTCACTTATGAAAATACTTGAGTATTGAAAAATATGAATAAAATTTTCTAATATCAGTGCATTTTTTGTATAATTTTCAGAGTAATTTTAAAGAATCTTGTAACTTTCAAAAACCACCTGATTTATTTTAGAACTACCTACTACTAATTCTACAACACTTGTAAAAAACCTCAACTTAAAAAATGCCATAGGAAATAAGGACAGCTATTTTGATTATTATTTCATATTTAAAATCAAGCAAAAAGAAAATAGGAGTGTCTTGATTCTCCTCACAGTTCCACTATGTTTGAGTAGAGGTTTAAGGTTTTATCCGTAAAGAAACTATAGCTCTGATTTGAGAACTCATCCTACTGAACAACTTAAACACATGGCAAAAACTAATACCTTTAATAAAGTAATTAAACTACTAATAAAATCTGCTCGGAGTTTCTCACATTTGGGGAATCTCATGCAAATCTGTACAACAGTGGTGTCCAAATTCAGTGGTGTCCACTAAGGTAAATAGCTATCTTTACTGTTTATTATTTAGTTTTAAACGTAACAGTACAGCTTTCATTTAGTACTAATATCTACAGTGATTTTAACACTTGACCAACCTTGATCAGCAATTGGTCATTTAGAAAACAAAAACCCTGCATAGCCAGTAAAACAACCACACAAGAGCTCTTTAAGGCTGCAAAATGTCTAACTGTATGAAGATTGACCCAGGTTAACTTCCTCCATTGAAAAATGTAAGTTATAAGATTAGGAGAAACGATGCACGCTCGCTGTTCATTCAGGACGCCACAACTGAGACTTTGATGAAGGCAGATAACAAGAAACTGAAGAAGGTGTGTAGAGGCTCTAAAAGGCTTTATTTCTTTTCGTCTTGGACAACGTAGGATAGAGCGGGGCATTCTAAAAAAAACCATGATTCAAGACAGGGAAGTTTTACTTCTCAAAAGGGAATGCAACTGAATCCTGCTAAATGACGGTAACCACAATCCAAGTATGAATGTTTACCATGGGATCTAAAAGGTCAGCTTTTTATTAATCCTATTGTCCTAAAATAACGTGACATTTATTTTATTCAACAATACTATTTGTTTAAACAGTTGCATTTTAAATAATCCAGAAAGTAAAAAAGTTTTTTTTTATGTTCTTATATAAAACTTTAAAAACACCCAAATTCTTCTATTGGTCAATGAGAGGTTTAAATAATCGGCAATCAGAGAGCAGAAACAAGTCTTGAAATCTCTAAACCTCCTGCTTTAATCTTCTGCAAACAAGGCTTTGACTTATTGCTTATAGTTGAAAGAGAAATAAGTAACCATTTTTATGCTTTTTACTTTATAAATCTGTAAAAAAATATAGGCAGGGGAGACTGGGAACAGCTGCAGCAAGTCTTTTTTTTTTTTTCAATCAGAAACTTGAAATCAATACCGCACATTCAGCTGGAGCCTCCAACTAACCAATAGACTAGAAGCCAGATAGAAGATCATTGTCTAAAATTTTATGCTAAAAACGTGTTTTTACATGTGTAGTTTTGAATTCCTGTTTTGACACTTTGTATAAATTAATTAAAAGTTAGGTTGATTGAATAATTGTTTAATTTACATCAAACTTACATAATTAACGTGTGCTATAATTTCTGTTACCTAGAACTTGCTGTTCTGTGAGAAGGATAATCAAAATCCAGGGACATAAGGCGACAATGGTGCATGTGGAAGTCCTGGGCACATTAAGATCACCAAATGTTAATCTGACCGATGGGAGGGTGAGGGGCTTAATAGATTATTATCAATATTTGGATGCTTAGAAGAAAAGTTAAATAAAAGTTTACTAATCTTTGCTATAAAAAATCTGTTTAAAAAAAGTCCTTTCCATTCTAAAACTAGATTTTGAGCAGATATGGATACTTGAATACATTTGTTTGCCGTGATAATCTGGGATGGTTATTGAAAGAAGTATCTAAAAATGTATATAATTTTTCATTGTGAGATGTCTGTGCATGTGCATTTTTCAGAGAGACCAATGTTGCAGTTTATTCATTGAAGTTTTATAAACAACACAAATTCTCAGAATAATACTCATGGAGACAAAAACAAAAGGCTATGAAACTAAATACATGGGCCATTAGCAGACAGACGTAGATGGTTAGTGTAGGCCCAATTGTCTCAGAGTTATTAGTTCCAATCATCCCCGGTATCCGCTATTTCACTCAGTCAATAAAAATGCTATTAATTCAACTAGATTTGCATATTATATGTATATATTTGAAATAGTCTGCTTGGACACACTGTTTCCTAGATACTGTATTCCGAGTGTAATACATTTTGAGCTCCAAATACTGATAAATTATTTGTCTATCATATCTGACTACCAGTGTCGATCCCACCTAACGTACGATTTTTGAACTTGAGATACTATTTATCAGAGAACATGAGAAGACTTGTACAATGGTTAAAAAAGGAAATTAGTAAAAAAAAAAAGTGTATTAATAATAATTCATATTGTCACAGGATATGTCAGAACATTTTTCCGAGTAGTTCTGGTCAGTTAATCAAGATCCAGATGTTGCTCTAAGTACAGAACTTTAAATCTGGAAAGAAATTTCTAATTTAGGTAAATTCATACACACTAAAGTCTCCTGAGAGATTACTGCTAATTACTAGCAGAGTATAAAACTTTGATATGAAGACAACACACTGACAGACTGTATCTAAATAATGCGCTCAGTTAGAAACTGCCTATAACATAATGACTTTATGCACTACTACACTGTCACAATCCCTCTGTGGCCCAGATGAAAGACTCAATGTCTCCACCGGAGCCTTTTATTGGCTTAGACCAATCTTTTTTTTCACATAGTGAACAGGACACTGAGGTTTGTACCAAAGCTGAGCTGCAATTTGTAATAAAAACTTAATTGTATTACTAAACAAAGGAAGTAAGGCCTGCAGGCTGAAAAAGAAGCATGGTGGACAGCAGAAGTGGGATAAATCGTCAAAGTGAGAGTTTTAGGGTTACACCATGGATCACCTCAGTTGAACTCTGGGGTGAAAAAGTAATTTCTTCCTGCTTCAGTTGACCTCTGAACCTGTAAAATCTCAATCAGCTCTTTCTCATCAAATATGCATACACAGACTCCCACATTTTAACATGCACAGTAATCTTTTTTCCATATGTTTTCACTTCTATTTTTACATATTATTTACATATATACTGTATATAAGGTAGAGGAATAAATCAGCCTAAGTCTCCCTCCTAGAATGGCTGCATGTGTGTTGCCAAGAAATATTAGCTTCCTTAACTACCACCAATGCTTGCTTTAATAAATACATTAGATTGTTATTGTTCATGAAAACCATGAAAATACATAAAAAACCAAACACATCATTTTCACTGGACATTAGATTAAAATATGTCTGAAATCAAAAAAATAATATTGAGGCTCGATAGAATTAGTTGGCAGCATTGCTGTGCCTTGTGTTTATGTTGAGTTTCATTTCTCTGGAAGTCAGAGATTGAACCAAAAAATTATAACGGACCTAAGTAGAAAGCATTTTAATCTGAAATCTTACTGCATTACAAGCTGAAAAAGTCACAGTGTTTAACGGGAAAGGTACCATAAGTGCTAAAAAAAAATGTATATTAAAACTCTTACTGAACTTGATTTGTGTGGCAGCTGAACAGCTTGTAGTTAAACATTTTGAATGCACGGGGCATTCCTGAGGTGTTTCTGGTAG